AGAGGGTACATGAAAAGATGAGGATCTAGTAGCTCACGTCATCAGAACTGGATCAGTCCAATGTGTTCACAGATTTGACACTGTGTAAAATGTTTCACCCATGTGGATAAGGACAAATATCTTGGCAAAGTAAAGCTGGTTTATCTAAGTTTTTCTGAAAGGCAGCAACCAGGATTTATTAACAGAGGAGCAACGCTGCTTGATTTCTTTTTTAGGTTAAAATCTTGAGAAGATGAGTGAGATCTCACTACGTTTTAAAATTCAGAACCGTTTTTAAAACATGAAGAAGTTTTAACTTAGACTATTAAAAATGATTTCAGAAACTCTTTCTAGTTTAATTCGTGCATCATAAAAAAATAAAATGTGGGTCTCATTAAGTCCACCAATGATTTACAAAATTACACTTAAAATGGATTGTTGACAGGGATTTTCCCACAGTAAAAAAGATGGTGCATCTACAATAAAAACGCCTCTCTGAGGTTTTGGAGTGACCAGTTTTATGTGAGTAGCAAATAAAAATGTAAAACCTTCATGTTTGATTTTTAATCCAGGTACCTGGCAACACAAAGTGATAAATGTTCAACATATTTCTAGGCCAAATATATATATATATATATATATATATATATATATATATATATATATATATATATATATATATATATATATATATATATTTTTTTTTTTATCAAAATCTCTGAAGTGTCATAAATCAAATGGATATAAACACTAAGTTAACAGCATCATGTGTGTCAGTGGGTTAGATTGATACAAACTAGTAGAAATGTAAACAGAAAATTCATATCTCCAACTTAGTCACCATTTTATATGCACAGGCTGTCATATTAAATATGGAGTTCAGGGTGGCTCATGTTCCTACAACTTTCCATGTCAAAATTCAGATAGGTGGGTTTTCTGATTAAACTTGGTAGAAATGTAAATTTTTTTGTGCTTTTTTTAAAAAAAGTCTGACTATCTGATTTTGATTGTAGCTTATTTCTTGTTTTACTTTTAAGAACTTTACCATCTACAAACTCATCAATTTAAAATATAGTGGACCCCCAGTATTCCTTAGGGCTAGGGACCTCACCTGCCTACTCAAAATCTATGAATACTTGAAACTCTATAAAAAGTCTCTGCTTTATTAGTTCAAGCAACAAATACATTTTAACATACTTTCCCTTAAATTCCACAAGAAAATCTGTGGACAGGTGAATCCAGAATACAGAACTGCAAATGATTGAGGTCGATTGCATTCCTTCTGTTTTGCATGCAGCGACCTCCAAAATGAGTCTCTGCCCCAGTGAAGAGCTATACGAAGGCCTTAAAATAAATGACTTCTATGGAGACTGGTTGACCTGAATATTCATCTTTATGCTGCAGTTTTCTGCTTGTCAATTTTGGAATACTTTTGGAACACCCTTAATATATTGCTCTATTTGTAGCTGTTGGCAAGTTTAGAGCAGTGATTATCTTGTACAAATATCTCTCATCAAAATTAACACATTCATGAGTTACTTCAATGACAATTCTTGTTGGTGTTCCCATTTTGAAGATTGCCTGAGGGAAATTGTCAGTCATACAATATTTATACGCCGGAAAAACAATAAATATAGGAATCCATTGAAAAGTTCCTGGACACTTTTAACACCTAAAAAGCAGTTTATTTATTGATTGATGACATATATGATGAATAAGTTTAAAGCTTTGTATGTAAAGCCAACTATTTCACTCAAACTTAAATGTTTAACTTTTCTTAATGTTTCAATATGAAATTATGTTTCTAACACAACAGATAAATTTATGAGTGCTTATAAATGAAGATAATTATTGTTGAGCGCACTGCATGTCCTTAGTCTTTTTCCAACTTTAAAATGGAAGAGGGAATTTTAAGTTTTGTTTCAGTGAGAACAATCCAATATTTCATTCAATGATCAGAGCTGATCAAGGAGGAAATTGCTAATAATGAAAAAAAAAAACAGACTAAAATGGTGCAGTTATGTAACTACAAAGCTTTTTAAATAAAAATGAATGGGTTTTTAGATAAGAATTTTAAAATATTCCATTTAATTCAGGCTTCCAGTAACTGGCAATGTTGTGCAAAGTCCAGATTGATGAAACCACTTTATTAGGATCTAACACTCATTATATTCATAGCACACACATTTTACAGTATATATTTCTTTATCTAACTATTATGAATCTACTGAACGAAAATTGAGGAAGGACTCAAAAGAGAAAACAGAAAAGGCAGGTCAGGGAAGAGAATATATGTAGGAACCAATGACGTGTGCTGGCAATTTTGCCTCTTGTCCATTTTCCAGTTCTGAAAGGCCATGATTTTTCTGAGGACGTTTTGTACCAACCCTCTGTGAACATTTTATGAGGGCAGCATTTCACTCATGTTTTGCTGACCAATCATTTGAAGTGATTTTCTATGCTCATCACCTTTACTCATGTTGGAGTATGAAGGTGACTTAAATGAATAATATCTATCACCTGAAGGCCACAGAGTTAGTTTGCTGTGATCAGGGGTCAAAATCAGTCATTTTATGTTAGATAGCTGAACTTAAAGGGAATCGGGACCACAATTAATATATAGGAAGCAATCTCAGACTTTTAGAAAATATGTACATAAATTTCAGAGCTGCTGTTTAGTTAAAAGTAGGTGAAAGTGTTCAACTAAGTTTTTATTCCCCTGTCTTTGTTTTTCTTTGCCCTGTTTATTACAACAGGGCAAAATTGTGAGATTTTAGCATTTTTATTGGTGTTTAAATCCATAATTCATCAAAATATGTACTCATACCACAGCTAATAAACTGATGAAAAAACAGTTAAGAACTTGTGTATAGAACAGTTTATTTATGGGTACCAAATAGAGGGTTAGGGTTAGATCTGGGGTGTTGCATCAAAGCAAACACTGCATCACCATTCAGTTGTTCTTCGAACTCAGTGACCACCATCCAATCTGACATTTGTGTTGGCCTTGGTTGTTTTTACCAAAGCTAGCCAGATAAAAGTATAGTATGAAATGTGACATTTAAATGTTTGTTGGAGGTTATGATAAGGTATTAGTAGTGTTCTGTATATGTTTTATGATGTTTACACCATGGTCTGTAAGAATAGTGCTATATTTTCAAATAATTTCAAAACTCTTTCAAGTTTTGCTTCTTCTAAGTAGCTTATCAGTTCCTTCTGACATCTACCCTGAAAGTTCACACTGACAGCTGAGTTCAAACCTTAGAAAGAACCTAAGAGCTCATCAGGAATGTTTTGGTCAACTGGGTCTGAGAGAGGATGGTGAATCCAGCTGTGCTTTTCTGTTTCTTTACATTATAGGGTACTCTAGATTATGTTTGTCTATTGTTGTATAAAACCACTAGGTTTCCTTTTGTTTATATATAAATATTGTAGATATATATAAAAAATTCCCTCCTCACCCACCGCGGGTGGTTCTTATCCTCTGAGTTTGGGTCAGATATCTTAAATTCAAATGTATAGAAATCTGTGCCTTCCTAAAAAGGCAATGTAGGTCACTTAGTAGCAAGTTGTGCAATAAATTCTTCAAATTAAATTGTTGATAGATTGTGAGACTAACTGATTTATACTGAAAGTATCTTTGTTACTTCTTACACTTTTTCTCTAAACTTGAGTAAGAAATTGCAGACAGTCTGATGTGTGAAACTGCAGTCCGGCAAAACGACAAAGCTTCAGGGGAAAGCAGTGAAATACCTGCATTTGTGCAATGACATATTACTGACATTGTTCTGTTTGTCTAAACAAATGGCTACACTACAGGCAGTAAATGCCTACTGACGCACTTGTATTTTACTGCATGTTTCTCAAGCCGAAGAATGACCGGATGCCTGTGGATCCCCTCTCATTACCAGTTCTATCACAGGTCAGCTATGACTGCCGTATGTTTAAGAATTCATATTGTGAGGTAGACACACCTCAAGCTCAAATAATATATAAGATTAGCCATATCATAAAATGACTGAACTGCAGAACTAAATGAAGTTTTGATGAAAGTTTCAAGGCTCTATTCTCAGGCTCCACCTCCACAGAGCACAACCTATTCATAATAAAGAAAATTAAAGAAAAATTTGAAATTGCACTACAGGATGAATTATAATAATTATTATAAACAGTTTACAAAAACCACCAGGACTAATAACTGGCTATTCACACACTAAGCCACAACCACATAACATAATCCTGCATCCATCACAAATTAAGTCACACAAATTACATGTCTTTAGTGAATTCAACCTGGTATTGTAAAAAAAAAAAAGTACAAAATACATGTCCAACTTTTTAAATCTTACCCCACCTGCTAAAAGCTCCTCGCCCTTTAAATCCAGATAAAACAGGAGCAAATAGGATTTAGTTCCCTCTCATATTTCCACTTTAGTGTAGAAATTACTAAACCGCCGCGTGCCCACCTAGCCTGATCCACACGAGCTGCAGATGAGTGACACTGACAGGCATACAGTGAGACAGAGCGCCTCGTGCCGTGAAGAGAGAGAGAGAAAAACAGAGAGAGAGAGAGCACACCTGGACAGGGAGGATGTGGTCGGTGCTTCCATCTAGAGGCCTCAAAATGTATTAAAGTAGAATTTCTTTAGCGCTTTAGTCAGCTCTAGTGTAGTACTCTTTGTACAAAATATATTGAAGTCATTCTACTGATCCTATATTCTTCTAAGTATTGGATGTTTTAAAATACTGACGTTTTCACTGACTTAAAAAATTTTTTTTTTAATGTTTCTCATATTCACATAGTAGAGGTGAGGGTTTTATTATTACTTTTGACTCTATAGTCTTTAAGTCATTAATACAAGTTCTTTTGAAGTTTGACAGACGTTTGTCTGCTCACGTTGTGCGAAATTTTGTTCCCCTGAGAAAACTTGTTCTCCCCGTCCCCTTTGTCGGGAGTGCGCACTGTAGCCTAGGTAAAACTGTGCGCGCTCCCGATTCATTTTGACACAGCTGTCGAACGAACGAACGTCGTCTGCCGACATTCGCAAACGTTCAGGGCAACGGTCAGGCGAACACTCATTGCTAGCTAGTTTCTACAAACTTGATCCAGAAGTCAGTTCTGTTGACTTAAAACTTCATATTACTGCTAGCAGGCTGAATGCGGTCTAACTGCAATTTCTTTTTTGAGGAACCTAGTCAGTTTACACGTTAGATAAAAGCGCATAAGTCTCGGTCCTGAATGTCTAAACTACCAGGAAATGCAGGTGTCTCGTTGCTTGGTGACAAGACCTTGGACTTCTACCGGGATCCGGTGATCTTCTGCCGACAGAGAATTGAAAGACACAGCAGCAGAGTGTTCCAAGGCCGCCTGATGAACAAACCGACCGTCTTTATCTGCTCTGTCGAGGGGGCGCGAGAGCTGCTCTGTGGTATGTTCACAGGTGTTCTTCTGTGAAAATAACAGTTTTTAGACATTGCTGTTTCCTCTTTTTTTAGTCGAGTAGCGTGTTAGCCTTCTCTAGATTAAAAACCAAAGTTTATCCTAGGCTACACAACAAATACAATTTATCAATAACCTAAGACTTGGTGCTGGAGACCTCTAGCTATGATCAAAATATGTTATACATGTATATGAAAAATATATTAGAAGCTAGGATACTTTCCCTGACCAAAACATTAACTCAATGTAGTTTAATAATTTTTTGTCTTGCAAACTACATTTTTGAACTATAATTTGCCACATTATTGAATTGAAACTGTGACTGTGTTTATTATACAATATATAGTCAATGTTTTCAGATCAGCAGGTTGTTTTGAATGTACAGTATGGTGAATGTGTATTTTAAGGCAATATTTTAAAAAATATGGTACTGATATTTATGTACCTCTATACTTCAATGATTGTAATTGACTCCTATCACAATAAAGTGACTTTCCTGGGTATCTGCTTTATTTTTGCACATCCCCAAACACTGTCTGGATATTCTGAGCTTCATTGTTAAAGTTGTTTTGTTATGTGATGTGTTGTAGAAAAGTCTAACATATTTCTGAAGGACCCAACTGATTTTATGACAAACATATATGGAGACACTGTTGTCACCATGAATGGTAAGCAGATACAGTCCCTCATGTTGATGTCGTCCATGTCTTTGTACATGTACTGATATTAATCTCTGGTTGCGTTTATGTTTCAGGTGAGGAGGCCTGCCTCCTCCGTCTGTCTCTCAACCACTTGTTTACAGGAACATGCCTGGAATCCTCAACTAACTACCTGTCCAGGTAAGAAGAGTGTTGGTTTTTAATTTATCTGTTATGCGCTCAAAGGTTTCAGTTAAGAAAATTGATTCTTTGTGAACATTTAAAATGATATAAACTCTTTTTCTTCACAGTGTATGTGACCACTGCTTAAAGAACCTCTCAATCAGGTTATGTAAACCCTGTGTGCTGTTGTTGACACTATAAGCTATTTGACACATTGAAGTTGTCCAAACTCCATATTTTACCAAAATGAATTTCAGTTTCCTTAAGTGGCATGAACACAATAAGCTAAGGAAACAAGCACCTATTTTTCACTGATATAGATGCTGGAATTTTCAGGTTAATTTACAGTTTGACCTAACCAAACGCGTGTGTATGTGTGTGTTTAGTGGGGAACCACAGTGTGTTTATTCAATCTTTAAACGTCTGGGTTCGGAGATGGTGTTGGGTCTTTTCCTGAACGTACGAGCTGAGGATCAGCCTGAGGTTTTCCAGGAAATCATGGAGCTCTGCACAGAACACTGGCACGGTAGATCCACACAGATAAAGCATCAACAACATTTATTGGCACCAGTGTGTTTATATGGGCAACATGGGCACCTGCCCAGGGTGACATGGGGGTAGCAAGGTTGGAGATGTAAGAAAAAGTACATATTGGCACCTGTGGCAAAGATCTGCAAAGTATCTTAAATTAAGCTTCTGTTGCAATAACATAACTTCATGCCTCCAAAAATTTGAAAAATCGAACTTCCATTTGAGTATACATGCGATTTTCTTCTTCCTTGACAATTATAAATATGAGATGGATAATTATTTCTTAAGCAGTCTTCAAAATGGGAAAGACAAAACTGTATGAATTTATGCAGATAAGGCAGATGTGTGTTTCAGGCATTAGCTACAAGAAAAACATTTGGAAGGTACATTTTGATGACAAATGGAAATATAAAAATAAATTATGTTTTCTTATCACATTTAAAAAAAAAATACAATAATAAGTCCCTTCACTTTCCTAAGTGGGTCCGCTTTTCTTTCTTCATTGTTTAACTCAATGTCAGATGTTGTAAGTGAGTAATGCGTTTTGTTTCTTTAGACAATAAAACAAAAATATAAAACACAAACCACAGGCAGTTTGTTTCCCCAAAAGAAGATTATTCTTCAAAATTAATTTGCAACACAAATCCATTCTTTTCTTCTTTTTAGATTACTTCACTGCTTTATTTTTCCTGCTTCAGACACTGGGTATCTTTGTGCTGGCAGGTTTCATCTCAGTTCCAGTAAATGTGAAGGTACCTTTGTGGACATCGGGTTTCGCCAAAGCTATGGATGCCAGAAGCAAACTGATGGAGATCATCAAAGACAAATTAGAGAATGATACACAGGGGTGAGGCTGCTCAGGTTACCTTGATGTAGTGAAAAAAGGCCTCTTCTGCTTCTTTTCATTCTTTCTCTAGCTTTCTTCTGTAATTTCTTTTTCATTTAGAGATATTCAGCTAAAACTAATTTTCCAAAATTCTGAGCATGTTTGTTTGATTAACTGGAAACTGGTTTATGCACCCAAAATCTCATATTGTAAGAATTAGAGCCTTATTGAGGCCTCTGATGTCTCCCACCAAAAATAAAACAAAAGATTTTTTGTAGCTATCATGATCACCACTTCTTTAACGTTACTGTGGTTTCAATGTAAATCCAGTTTTGTCGGCGCTTTGGGTTCCGTGCCATTTCCCAACTCTGGTTCTGCTGCTCAACATCTCCTTCTGTTCATCTCAGCACTCATTCCCAAAGCTCTGGCATCGCTGCTCACCTCTTTCACTCTGGCTCTTGGAGGACCTGAACAGGTATGCACAGACAGGCACTTAATACAAAAGAGGAATGCAAGTATCTTGTTAGCCAGAAAGACAAAAAAGAAGCAGAGATTTCTGTAAATATTTGTTGTTAAACCTTCTAGATGTTAGCAGCATAAAAAGTGATGTTAATACTGTTAATAGTAGGACATGTAAATTAAATTCCATCTGAAAGTAACAACAATTACGCTTCACAACTCTTTGTATCAGAGGGAAAGTCGTAAAGAAGCCATCCGTAATCCTGATCACCTTCACAGAGTTCTATTGGAGGTGCAGAGACTGTGGCCGCCCTTCATTGGTGGACTCAGAATAGCTGAAAAGGTAAGCTGGATGAGTTGTCATGGTAAGCTTTGAATCTAAAAATTAGAGTTTTTGTGCGCTCTTTCTTCCACCAGATGGCATCAGGTGACAAGAGAGAAAACGACTCATTTCCTTTCTAATGAGGCCTACATGCTGCTGAGAGTTGAGCAGAACACTCTGCTCTAAAATATCGGGGCTAGGACCGCTAGATGCAGCGAATTGGTGTTTGAGGAGTTCTCAAAGTCGTTTGGCTTTGGGAATCTGGGTCAGCAAAGTGGGGCATTGTTGAATTTTCTACTTAAAGTGTAGAGAAACAGCAAAAAAATTCAAGTTATGGAAAGATCTCTTCTTTTGAGATGTCACATAGGACTTCAATAACATAATAAACACCAGTTTCTGATTTTATAAAACACAATAAATGTACCCATTTAATATGACTTGTCATTTTTTTGGCTCAATTTAAAGCACATTAATGTGCACAGCGCAAGGACTCTCCACCCAGCCTCTTCCCGCTACAGCTCTCTATGATCGTTATGACCTCATCAAACAGTGTTACGCAACAGTCCAATGGGAGGCATTGATCTGTCTCTGTGATTGATTGGCCGACCCGGAAGGAAGCAAGCGGGGAGCTCTGGGTCTCCGGTGGGGCAGATGTGTGCCAGTGACGCTGTGAAGTGGAAAGTTTTGATTCTTTTAGGTTGTGCAGCAGAACATTCTGATCCTGGTGGCCTTGCTGGGGTTTATGATGCATGGAATTTTTAGATAATATTAGAAGGAAATGACATATTTAGGGAGATATATTTGCTGTTATCAGGGGAGAGCCTCTGGAATATCTGGTTCAATTTTAAAATTCTATTTTTGATACAGAGGGGATCTTGGAGCTCTTTATGATACATGGGTGTTTAGAATAGTTAGAAGTGGTTGCACTTCATGGTAATGAATAGCATCACCTGACTGCTACTTTCCCACATGGTAGTAAAAAAGTTGAGCTTTCTGTTTTTTATTCACAGCCATCCATCCTGCCCACGTTTTTATTTGATAAATGAGTAAAGTATAAAATTGGTGTCACCACACACAGGTCAGAATTTGTTTTGTCATAAGTCTTCTTAGTTACTAAAAGCATAAAATAGACTTAATCTACTTTATGCTATATATAAAATAAAAATACATGTCAACTTTGAGCATAGATAATAAGGAGTTTGTTCTAAAATTATGTGGCAGGATGTTTATGCTTGTGAAAAAGTGTGCTGGAACTCATTAATATTCACAGTCAGGTGGAAAAAACTGGGCACTCCATCAGATGGAACTAAAATATGCAACATTTTATGTCAAGCTACCTAATTTGGTTAGTCAGGGAGGGCAAAGGTATCTTCCATCAAGAACTAGATGTGCTTTCATACACCTGTAGTAAGAAGGTTGGGAAACTCCATATATCATAGACTTTACATTTATATGTTGAAAATGAGTTACTACTGAGCAAATTTGAGTCCAGAAGTAAAAGTAGTCAAACCTAAGATGTAAAAAGAAAAAAACCATAAAACCCTTTTAAAATGTAAAATTGTTCCTTTTTACAATGAACGTTCAATATTTTAAAATCTTGTGTGGTTGCAGGAATCCACCCTGGCAGACTTCTGTGTTCCTAAAGATTATGGCGCAATGTATGTCAGCTACTTCATCCATCGTGACCCAAAGGTGTTCCAGCAGCCTGATAGCTTCCTGCCAGAAAGATGGAGTGGGAGGTACGGTCTTTAGTTCTCCTAGTTGACTTTCACCATAGTAGATTTAGACCACTTTGCATGTCCAACAACATGGGAGGCATGGGAGACTTCCAGTTGCTTCATTGATACGTCAGAGCTGAATACCTCTGATCTGATGCAATTTGAGGACACTTTAAATTTAAAACCAGTGCATTGCACACATGGTGTTAAGATATGTATTTTACGGCAAATGTGTTTTTTTATTGTGAGCTTTAAAATCTTAGAGGTTTAATCAAGCACATAATTATTTTCAGCATGTAATTATACAATTATTATGCAGTCAGCAAAATCATTTTGGCCTTTAATGATTTATTAAAGGGAATAAATTAGTTGTGAATGTTTTCTTAAGTATAAACAGTTTAAAAATAAACATACATGCTCAAATTTACATTTACATTTGTTGCCATTAACACTCCTCTGACATAATTATGAGTCCTTCTTTGACATTTAATTATTAAATTACATTTAAATTAGTTGGTTTACAGACTTGAATTTTAAATATATTCCATAATTTTCAGTCGAGTTGAGAATTGAGCTTTGGGAAAGTCATTTCAGAATGTTAAGGGTAGCCTGTTTTAGCCTCTCTAAACACAGTTTTCCTGTGCATTCAGAATCGTTGGCCTGAATGCAATGATCCTGAAACACTAGAATATCACACGTTCAATTGCCAAGTTTTTGATTTCTGAAGAATGAGAAGCTAGTCCTCGTTATTTCATCAACTTTGTACAATGAACCAGTCCAACGGCATCGTGTTTGACAGGTGACACAGTGTTCTTAGGTTTAAAGCCCTCACTTTGAGTACTTTAAAATGATTATCATTTTAGCTCAATATTCTATCTCATGTGACCACAGCATACTTATAAAGAAGCCCTTTAGTTCTTCCATGTGAACAGTTGCTATCTGTACTCAAGCTTGTTGGTGCAAACTTATGAATGGGGAGGTCTTTCTCGGTTGGTGTAGCTTTCATTATGTAGTCTTGCACTGAAAATGCTAAGACTTGATGGTCCAAAAGTATTTCCAGAATAGTCATACCAGTATATGAGTTTTTACTGTGAATTTCTGTGATTTTTACCAGAATAGATGAAGTTTATACATTCACCTGTGTTCAAGAACCATACAGAGCATTATCTATTGCACCATCACTCAAAGTTTGTTTCCTTTGCTAATCTGCTGTGGCTTACTGTCGAAAGAACAGAAAGAGACAGGAAGTTTCAGTTATTGTAACACATTAAGGATGATGAGGAAATGTGTCACAAAGAGCCTTTTTTCATTAAAATGGCAAGAGAATAAAAGGTTGCAGTTTTGTCCAGGTGTTTTTTCAGCACAATCTTTTTTTTTTCCATGCTCTAGAAAACATTGTCAAAGGAAAGGAAATTAAAGAATTATTTCTGTCGGCAGCAAGGTTTTTTATTGTTGTAGTCAAGGGCGTCACTTTTGGTTGGAAAAACTGAATAAGCGGAGAAATTGCATTTCAGTACTTGAAAGACTAACAGAAGGTCAGATGAATTGAAAAAGCGAACATTTGTCAGAAACACCCAAAACATTACTCTGGAGGTCTTCTTTAAATTGTGTTATCAAATACCCTGAGAATTACATATTCATAACACCACAACCATAATTCAATTTATTTGTATTCACAGTATTTATACTCTACATCCATTAAAGTATTGAGAAGAACTGAGAAGTGTAAAAATGAGAGCCTAAAAAAAATGTCTGTGACTTCTCTGGACAAATAAAACCTCTCCCCGTCGACCCTTTTCTGTTTTCATTCACCTCCTCAATTCACATGTTTATTCTCATTCATGCTTATTAATGCCCTGGTAATGTATGCATCTGTTGCCATGGAAACTATTTACCTATCTTTGTCTTTAAGTGTTTTCTGCATGTTTAAATATACACAGTCAGGTATCCAAAAGAGAAGAATATCAATATTCAGATTGTAATCTGTACTAAAACTATCTGATTAGAAACTCATTAGTTGCAGCACTGATTCTAGCAAAGCCATTTTCACCTCCGCTTGTTGACTTGGAGCTTTTCACAGCAGTGCTGCAGAGCTGCAAACACCCAGTCTCCCCTCTCAGAACATTAGCTGTCATTCACAACACTGACATGGTTTGCGTAATAATGACTCTTACTGATACTTTGTTCAATGGCAATGAAAGGCTTCGTACATATTGCTATTGTTTTGTCTTTCAAACAATGTAAATTAGTCGACACCTTTTGGGAAGAATAAATTAGTAAATGCTGATTGTAGAAAAAATTACTAAAGGTACTAATGGAACAGTGTGCCCATCTGAAAATGGCTGCTGAAATTGATTCTCATCAAACCTGAAAACTTGTTTCTAAACTATTATTTTTGCTCAGCCTCTGTGAATTGCGGCCTCTTTTCTGTGTTATTTTCCATTTTTTAGAGCATTTCCTGTAAAGCCAGGAGGTTTTTATGTCTGAGCATTCTGCCACTCAGAGAAACCCAACAACAATTCAGTCACAAATTTCATCCCCATTTTGATGCTCGTTCTGATGCCGGAATGGGATTAGACAATTTGCTATTTGTGTTGACAATCATCTGAACAGGTGTTTCTAATGAAGTGACCGGAGAGGGTTCACTTGTAACAACAGGATTTTTGTGGGAAAAGATTTAGGTTTTCAGATAAAACTTTGATGCTTTGTTGCATTTTGTCAGTTTCAGCAGAAAGTATTGGACAGGGAGAAATAGGCAGGTCCGAAAAAATAAACAAGTGGTAGTTCAAATATGTCTTACACCTGCTTTATCAATGTAGTTCTTGATAATATGCTTAACTAGTTGTATTGAATTCAGTTTTAAATGAATGAATAATTCAGCTTAGTTTCCATTATTATAGTAATTTCAGAAACGTTTTTTGACAATTGAAGTAAGAAAAGAAACATCTATATGAGCAGACAGGTAGCTGCTGCCTTAGTAACTGTACCACCCTTACCTATTTTTACCAACAGGGATTCCCTTAGTGCATCGTTCAGATTGGGGCAGAGTTAAAGAATGAGTCAGAGGAGATTTTCCTTGCAGCAGTGACGTAAAAGTTTAAAAATAAATAAATAAATAAAGCTATAAAAAACAGATAACAAAAAATGGTGTATGAATCTATGTGGTGAGTCATCCAGACTGATGGGGTTTGACAAAAGATGGAGTAGTATACTGTCTTTATCATCTATAAATGTCATTAAAACTAATTTGTAAATGAGTTTCTTTTCTGTCTGAAAATGGATTCAATAGTAGAATGACTCCCAGCTTTGGGCGAACAAGGCCTTAAGACATTAGTCAGTATGTGTGGCACATGCAATAAATGCAAGAAATCTTTTTTCATCAAACATTGTGGGTAGTTAGTTGCCTTTTTGCATGTATATTCATACAGTAGCATATTTAAATAATGCATTTTCTGTAAACCATAGATTGATGAATTGTTGCTAAAAAAAAGCATTTTCTGCTAACACATGTAACTTAATCACAGTTTAAAATAAAAAAAACAACAACAACATAATAGTAGAGTGTATAAAGGTAGAGCAGCAAGATGGATGAAAACACTGGCAACCTGCAGCTATCTAGGCTGACTTATCAGTTGACTTGTCAGTTTTTTTCATTTATAATTATGCAATAAGCTACTGCATTTTTCTTAGCTTTTTCATTATCGAACTGTTGTGTCCTGTACTAATGACATAATTTAAAAACCATTATTATTGAAACTCAACCATATCAGTTGTATATTCAGTATCTAAAATGTTGATAAATATCACAGTGAATGTGTTACATGCACTAAATAAATGCATATTTTGCAAAACAGTTTAAAAAAATTTTCCAGTTCGCCTTAATTGTGACCATTGTTTCCAGATATTGAAGCTTCCATACTTATACTGGAAAAAGATCTGAGCCACATGGTTTTATTTAAAAAAAACTTGCATCTTGCATTTTCCTGCTTTCAATGATATTTTGTAACTTCCCCCTTTTACATTATGGTATTTATAACTTAAGGTGTTTGTCTTTTGCATAAACTAGTAGGGCTAAAAAATGGAGGTTAACGATTAAACATTAATTTCCTCTTTGCTACTGAGTTTCTGCAACAAGATTCATAAAGATTACTGACTGTGTCTGCTTGTGCCTTTTGGTGTTTTTTTTCTCCAAGGTTTCCTTCATCAACCAGTCTGTTTCCCCTTTCTTCTATCTGCCTCTCACCCTGCTTCTCCATCTGTCAGCTTATCCGGAAACTGCTTTACTGTCTGCCGTGATAGTTTCCAGCCTTATTTTCAAGCCACCTGGCTTTCTAATTTAATGACTGCAGTCCTGTTATATAACAAGCCCACCTACAATCATCACAGTTTCATCTGTTCTTGTTTTTTATGCATTTCTTTTGGACATAATCCCACTGTATATTGTCATGGTGTGCATTGATGTGTCTTTGCTTTTTCAGAAGGAAGTGAACAGGCAAGCTAACATCCCATTAGCCAAACGCCCACACATGCTCCGACCCCAAAATAATCAGAAATGTTACAGAGTCAGATAGGAATCTCAGCGACTGCAGCAGATATCAGAGCGGGTTTTTAGAGGAATTTGAGATCAGGAACATTTCTTCTGTTTAAGAAAACATTTGTTATAAACACTATGGGTTGAGTGGACATAAAATCAAAGGCAGTTGACTGTATTGAGTTGAGTTTATTAATGGACTCTTAAGTAAATTATTTTAAAAAGCCATTATCACATTCCAATATTTGGAAGATGATCACAACTTCCTTAATCTAAATGCATTTTTCATGAACTGCTTTTCTTTCTAATAGATTATACCTAATATTTTTAATATTACCAATGCAACATAATGTTCGTACATTTGGTGTCTGGGTCATGGAGTCTTGGACTGATCGCTCATTGTACTTTTACGGAGTAAAATGAATTATAATGTCCATCATATAATACTCAAGATTGGACTCATTTTCCTTCCATTCATCATATTTGACATTTTCTTTTGCTGTAGCGCTCCTTCTCTCTCAGCATTACAGAACTCTGCAGTGCAGCAATCGTTTTAATGTTCTAGGATGTTCCCTAATAGTACATTAAATTGTCAGAAAGATAGCAGCGAGAACACTAATAATCTCTCCGCGAACACACACACCAACCATCTGGCTAACTGCTTCTAGACTCTGCACATCTCTAATGCTTCCTGTTTGCCTTTAATCAGAGCTCAGGTTTCAGGAAGACAGGATACATTAGACACAGGAGATGGCCTGAATGGGCACTTTATTGACTAGAGGATGGAAACTACCAGCATGTATTTCTCTTTTGGACATTTTCAGGTATGACAGAGGGAGACAGAAACAATTCATGTCTATGTTCAGTTTTTTTTTTTTTTGGCACCTTCTGTAACTGATTTTATCACATAGCATTTTCTACTGGCTTTTATTAGTTAGAGAGGAACTTCCCTGAATGTTCGTAAAAACTGAAAATTCTAGAATACTCAATTTCTTTGAAATTTCTTGTATGCTCTGGTTTTCTTCAGGAATGCAGGCCAGGAGCATTTGCTTTGTTCTTTTGGCAATGGGCCCAGAAACTGCATTGGTTCGACCCTTACTGAGATCTTTATTAAGGTGAGCTCAAAACCTTCAGCCACATCCTTAGTTTCAATATGACTGCTTCTCATTAAATGTGCTATTAAAGTTGTCTTGTGTAGTTCCTGACAAGTGATAAACCTATTTGTAAAAAAAGTACAAACAACAAAACGAGAAAATAGCTCGAACAAAGAAGCGAGAAGTTATAAAACTGAAAAATATCTAATTAATTCATTTAGAATATTTTTTTTGTCAATTAAAACAGGTATCTGTCTGCGCATATATAGAAGTTTACTAATGTGTCTTATTAATTTGTATATGTGCAGATATTGCTTTTGCTAGTTCACCAACATTGATGATGAGGTTCCATGTCATAAAGGTGTGTTTCTGATTTCATTACACAAAAAGTGTTTCTAGATACACAAACCAACAAAAATAAACATTACACTAGCTTGAGTTTGAATTGGAGCAATAGAAGTAGCTTATTCTGCCCTGTGTATATTTACGTTTTACCCTATTTAATTGAAGAAATAATATTTTAAGTTTTTGTGCAGCAAATAATGTATTGATATTTTTTGTAATTCTCTCGATAGATACTTTGTACTCTGGCAAAGTGCATATAGTTAGATGCAGTGGTTGTTGTCAGGAAGGTTCTGTGCAACATTAAAACCAGGAGACTCTAATTGAGAGGTGAACCACCACCAGTCATCCTGTAAACAGATCAGTGGTCATGGGAATACCATGGCAGCCCAGCCTCCAAAGCAGCTCTCTCCATAGTCACAGCTCGACTTGGGCTAATGACGAAACGAAAATGTTTTCCAGGTGCTGAAATGCACATCTAATGTATATATGTTTAACTAGTGCAATTAAAGCGTGTTATTTAATGTGCGTAGGTAGATTATATTTACATTGACATCACTGACATGTCCTACATTAAAAAATGCAACACACCGGTGGGTGGTATCTCAAGCTGTCTGTCTGAAATGCAGCTCCAAGAAGTGACTCAACACACCTACACCCTGCACTCACATATATATCACATATGAGTCAATCAAGCCTGATATAGGGATGTCCAGATAGAGAAGCCCCCCCACTCCTCCCCCAACATCAGTTTTAGTCTGAGTCGAGATAAAACTTCTGCTAAAAAGCTCACGCTTCAATGTTTTCTTTTACAATTTGTCAATACATCAACACAGCAGCAGTAAACGCAACCTTCTGCTCTATTAGCTGGCTTAAACTGATGATGTCATTACCAGAGATATTTTTTCACTAAACAGAAATCAAAGAAACGTTAGCCAATTGTCATTTCATTTCTATTTTGGTAATTTATTTTTCCTTATACAAAAAAATATGGAAGAAAACGTTTAGTTTTAAGTAACGTCTATTTCACCTACCATTTATTTGTTGGAACTGGTCCCAGGTTGACAGAAAAATCGTAACACTTTTATAAGTATATAATTTGTACGTTTTTGTACATTTGGATCAAATAATTGAAAAAAAAATCCAACAAAACATTGTTATTGAAATGTATATTTTCCCTTTTATGGGATTAACTTTTTTTTTACAAATTAATTACTGAATTAATTTCTACATTAATTGCACAAATGAACTTCTACAAGTTAAACGCACCTTTTTTGTCAGTTTTTTTTAGATGTATATAATTTTTGCTTTCACAAACATGCAATTTCCTCTAAAGTTATTTGGACAGTTTGGAAGTATATAATTTAATTTTAAACACTATTTGAGTAACAAACATATCTACCAATCCTGAAAGCCTAAACACATTTATATGAATGAATAATATTTTTAGTTGGAGCAGAATAACCTGCTTTATGAACATTTTTGGACCCATTAAGAAAATTGGGTCTGAACTCATAAGTTTTCACAAACAAGCTTATAATCTCAAAAGGGAACTAAAGATAGTTGTTTTAATAATCACCAGAGCTACATTTATTGACCCTCTGCTGGAAATAATATGAAAAATGTTTGTGATCAGACCAAATAGTTTCTGTTAAAGATCTGTAACAAGCAAGACAAGTTCACAGTGAGGTAAATAAATATTCAACCCCCAGTAATTGTTAAAATTATGATTCTGCAGTAAAAGATGAACAGATTTTAAGACTATTTACATCTGTTACAGTGGGGCCAATAACTGGAGATTCTCCTGCAGGCAACACAGAGACACTTCCTCAGCTTAGTACAAGAGAAAACCAACAATTTAGTTTTATTACGAATGCAGATCCGGCTGGTAATCCATTGCATTTGGCTGGTTTTTAACAGGATAACCATTTTCTGCTCACACACTGAGGAGGAAGTAATCAGAGTAACAAGGAGTCTGTGGGGATCTAGGTCAGAGATGTGACTCATCGCTCTTTTTCCTTCTTGTTTCCTCCCTGCACTTCTCTTGCCCCAGCTCCCCCCTCCCCGCCCTCAGCATCTTTCCTCAGTTCCCTCAGTGCTTTCCTCCCCATTCATTCATCCTGCTCCTCCCCCAACATCAGGAAAATCCTCATTCATAAAGTGAAGGGTAGGGGCGACGCGATTGGTCGGCTCAGCAGCCGCAGGATAAGCCAATGAGAAATGCTGGGAATGACATCAGGATCTTAAGAAGAGGCTTGAAAACTAAAGATGATATGAAAATATGGGTCTGAATTCAAATATGAGACTTGTTGCTACCTTCTCAGTCCAAAACAGTTGATGTTGTGTTGAAGCTTGGCTGATAAAAGGGCCTGCTTTGCAATTTCAGACATGGAATCAAAATATTGTGGGGGCTGTTGTTTTGCACGGCGAAAACCTAAAAAGCTTTGGCTGGGGTAAACACTGTTTTCACCCTGCTGTAAACACACTGAAAATAGAAATCACTCTCTGCTTTTATATTTCAGGAAGCTTGCAGATACCTGCTAAAGAACTACGACTGGCATTTGGATCCTCTGTCGCAGGACCTTCAGTACAAATGGCTGCCTGTGTCCCGCCCCGCCAACCTTCCCAGTGTGTCCTTCACTCGATTGGATCAAACAGTATCAGAATGAGATTACGCCGGGGACACGTAGCCTCCGGCTGTGTTTTATTGGACAAACATGTGTGCCTTGCATGCAGGGGGGAATGTCTGGAGATGTAAAGGAGGGATGCCGGCAAACTGCGAGGCTTTCCCCCTCCTGTGCATAACCCTGTAATCGTGCCAGGGAAAGCCAAGGGGGGCGCTGGTTGTGCTTTATCTGTTCCTTTGCCAGATATTCTGCAGCGTTCCTTGATTGCTCTGCAAGAGAAGGCAGGACAGATGAGTCATTCTTCTATTGTGGAGCCTGAAACAGACTCAGAAATGTTATATATTTTTTAAAATATGAATTCATTCACATGCAAGTCTTGTTTTTAAAACTGCAATCTGTCTCTATTGCAGTTCAGTTTGGGATAAATAAGCCTTGGTGTTTCTGAGTGGAGGTGTGTGTGCGTGTCTGAAGCAGAAACTCTGTAGCATTAGTATTCATGTCGCTTCATTCCAGAGGATCGCACGTCATGTGCTCACACGGGAACATGGGTAAACCCTCAGATTCCATCACTGTCTGCAAACCTGAACCCACTTCTTACACCTCCACCCCACCTAGCAACAACCACTGCTTAGCAACAGTTCGTCATACAGATCCTGTCTTGCCTCCTTTTAGTATGCATGTCTCACACAAATACACACATGCACACTATTCTTGCTTATATTTTGAATTATCACATCTTGCAGGAAAAAATAAAAGCACTTAATTGCTTCAGATCAAACTAAATTAAATAACAGAAAACCTTAATAGAAAATGTAGCTCTTTAATAGTTATTTTATTTATCAAATGGAAAAAAAAGCTATCTGAACTACCTCAACTCTAGAGGGAGAAAATGTATCCCCTAATACTTGGCTGTACAACACTTAACAAAAATGGATGCGTTTTTACATTGCTTTGAAGAGATATTGGCCCTTTCTTTTATGCACAATTGTTTTATTTCAGCCATATTTAAAGATTTCTGAGCTTCAGCAAACCACTTGTTTCACATCATCTTATTTAGATTTGTCTTCAATCAATCAGACTCTCTTGTCTTCTGTGAGTCTAGACTTAAGGCAGTCCAGTGATAAACAAAACTTTGGTTTTGAGTTTTTTCTGGTAGAGAGCAGAATTCCTGTTTCCATTATGATTTTCACAGGCATTCACGACAATATGTGACCACAACTCCCTTTGATTTGCAGAAATATGCAATTGTAATATTCCACATATTGTGGAAAATATGCAACCACATATTTTCCACAATATGTCAGAAAAGCATGCAGGTTTTCATGGACTGGCCTAAGTAAGAAGTACAATCTAAAAAAATACTTATTACCATAACTTTTTAAGCTAGTGCATGACACTTTATTTTACAATGAAGAGCTGTAAAATAACGCTATGTTTTCGTGGACCTCTGTAGGCGGCGTGATCCCTTATCAATCTCAGGAACATTTTATTTGTCACGATCCACCACACAAAAGACCCCCTGTTCTCTCTGCAACCCCCGTCGCCCCACACACACAAACAATTGTAAAGACTGTATCCATGCCTGCCCTGCTCGCATCTATGAGTTGTCAGAGTTTCTCTGTTTCTCGTGTGCACACACTCGCCGACATACATCACATAGAATCTGGCAGAAAATGGGGTTCTTGTGAGCGAGGCTGGTATGACTCATTGTTCCTCCTGCACTTGGCTGTCAGCTAAAGCTTCTGTTAGCAACTGTTTGGGACAGGCAAAATGACTCATGGCGAATCTTGTGCATAGGAGCACATGGCTCTGTTTTATTTGGTTATATCCTGTTTTTAAAATTTTTCTTTTTGCTTTCTGTAGAGCAGGAATAAGAAGAATCTGTACTCAGTAATGGGTGCAAATCATTTTTATTATTCTTGAGCCTTTTCACATAATTGCATAGGAATTTAGTTGACGTGGAATGTGCATGCCAGACCACCTCTTCACATATTCAGCTGCATTTCTAAATAAGTTGCCTGTGTGGTCTTAACAATATTCTTGTGAATTTGGCATCGAGTGCATTTTAGGAATGTGATGAGCAGATGTGTGTGCAGACTACAATGCAGTGCAACTCACTGAGAAGTAGGCTAAAGCTTTAGCATTCGTTATGTAGATAGGGATTCTGTAATACAATGCACTGTGTGCGTCATTCGTATGTACGTAGTGTGTAGGAGGTTACAGCAGGAAAACATGCATTAGACTAATGTAGAGAGGTAAAAACTAAGGGCTCATTGTTTTTCAGCAGCATTATTATTTATAAAATCCCAGATTTCTAATTGAATATTTGAAAAGAAGCGGAAAAAATAAAGAGATTAATGCACCAGGGGACATTTTATGTCCTTTATCTTTAAGAAAAACAAGAGTTTGTCAGTCAGTTCCGCACACAGGAGGACGAACACTGGATCCAGATGGCAGAACAAAGTCTGAGGTCGGGTTTAATGAGCAAAGTTAATTACCACATGACCTCTCTGTCGGTCCACTCATAGTGGACTGATGGGCCGTTATGGTGTGTACAACACAAGTGAAGGAAGTGCATTCTACCCCCTGCAAGTGTGACACATGTTTGGACAAAAAAACAACAGGTTTACCTGTTCAGCTAACAAATTCCAACATGCATTCAAGGTAAGCGAGGCCCTCAAAACAGACGGAGTATTCACAACAGGAGGTGCATTAGAAGATGCACCTTCACGATGCATATTTCTCCACAGTAACAGGTGCAGAAATATTATCAGTCTTTCCGAAGGCAAACTTGCATCATATTTTCAAGCCATTATGAAAATATGACTTGAAACTGATGATAGTTGATGTTTATCAATAACTGGAGAAATTTACTGTCTGTAAAAATGTGTTACTGTGGAAGGCATAGTTTAAAATAAAGATAAACATGAGAATGACTTTTTTTAAAAATCACAGATATTGCTGGAAAAGAAATTAAAAACTGTTCAAAACCTGCACATATTGCAGGTTATTAAAAATATGAACCAGTTCCTTTTAAATTTTAGCAAAAGGTATGAAGTGCCATTATGTGGGATCACAAGTTGCAGACCTCTGATCTGCCTAAAAAAAGAAGACAAAATGCTTCAAATAAGCACAATATGTTTTGATCAATTCAATAAATTAAACAGATTTCGAAAAGAGGTTTGAAAAGATTGTTTCCTGAATGAGTTGTGCTCAAAAACTAATTTATATTGAAAGCAATAAAATAAGTGAAACATAAATGGGGGTGAGAACTTCATATAGTTTACCAGTCACTGCGGTGAGACAAGTCACAACATAAAAAGCTGCTTTTTTTACTTAGGTGACCTACTAACAAAGAGAAGTCCCCCTGTGTATGCAATGAATTCATATAAAACCCTCAGAGGACACCAAAGTACTACTTTGCTCCTTATGTAATGTTTGTCTGTGCTCAGACGGGCAGCAAAGGAAACCATTAGTCACAGAGGTGCTATCAAGCTCTGTTTAATTGTGTCATTCGTCGTCCCTGAGCTGCTGAGTCCTGCACAGCTGCCCAGATCCACCAGGGACCCCTCAGGCGCTCTCCACTAAAAAACAAGTTCACTAACACATATGGCAGCAAGTGGTCCAATAATCTCCCTGCGGGTGTATGTGTTAGAGGAACTCAAGTAAGGTAGGGTCAGGAGCATTTCCGGTTTTACTGTAAATGAGGAGAGGCCACAGAGGCCTGCAACTTCCTGCTGCAGGTTCAGGAAGTTCATGCATAAATAAAGCAATTTATAAGAAACGCATTTAGAACTGATCACACACCTCAGCTAAACTGTGAAAGCTTTCAGAGTGTGATGATTGCCTCCACAATTTAAATCCCTTCCACTTTCAGCAGCCCACTGATAAATGTGCTGTGCTTTTAGAGCTCAAGCTAATATTTCAGGGCGTTGTCATGGCAAAGATTCAAAATATAACTTTATATAGAGTACCATTTTCTGCATTGAGACAAGTCAACATGAAAAGCTGTTTTTCTCACTTATGTGAGCTACTGACAAAGAAAATCAGGCAATGAATTTATATACAGGCTGGAAGTATCTAAAATTTGACAACTTTTTATATATATATATATATTTTTAAAAATCCATATGCTTCCTACTGTCTGCAGGAATGCAGACAGAAGGAGTAACAAACCAATCAGAGCCAAAAGTAGGGTCTTCGCGATGTCGATCATGCTTGTGTATGTGCTTCTAAATGCAGAGAAACAATTTACCATTACAGGAAAACTGTTTATCCGCTGTCTTTGGTGGGCAAGCTAACTAGCCTCAGCATGGCGAATGAGCACCAGCTATAGTGAAGGAGAAAGAAAGGCGCTGGGGGTGAGTGGGCGCATACAGAACATTTATCAACAGCACTAGGACCCTCCTCCTGGCTCTGATTGGTTGTTTTTGACTGAGCTCTATATTTCTGCAGCTAGCAGTGGGAAAAGACAGAGGAGCTCAATTTTGTTATTTTTAATTAATTTTTTCTCAGGTTATATGTCTTATACTGTTATGGAATAATGATAATTTATCAAATATGTAAAAAACTTTTTTCTTCTTTTGTTTTTGTAAAAGTCACATACTGAAGCTTCCCTACCTCCCTACCTGTGCCCACAATGATCATTGGATAATCCAGCCTTCATAGGGGCCACATGGTTCTTCTAATTAGTGTATTAAAGCATTTTATGAGTTTTTAGTGATAAACCCAACAATTTCTACTGAGATTACCACATAATGTTCTTTTACTTAAATCTTTTCTCTACTTTGTTTAAAAGGACATAATTTCTACTTAGTTCCTTTGTTTTTTCTTTCCTTTTTTTTCAGCAATAACCTTTTCAATGAAAGCTTATTACATAACACGCTCCCACTAAAAATAAACCAGTGGAATTTATTATGACTACATTAATGAAATGATGCGGCCCCTTTTAGTTCTCTTTAATGCTTCCTCCCTGACCCGAGCGCTCCTCACACTGAAATAAGGCCACAAATAACTACCCACAAAGACTATTTCGGGAGTAGCCATCGTCCTCTGGTGAATTGATTGTAATTTCAAAATTCAGCACAAGTATCATTCCCTAATGGTGCAGATGTGATTTCAGAAGCAGAGTGGGAGGAACGGAGAGGAAATAAGTGGTTTGCGGCAGAGCCGGATAAAACGCGCCGCTCTTCAAACTCGCCCGCTGCATCTCAGTTTGTCTTTCAAACAATGTGAAACCTCCCTGACTCCTCCCGTTTCCCATGATGCTCGTTCTCTCATGCTCCCCTTCTCTCCTGAGGGCTGAGGTTAACAATTTCAACATCATGGAACAACACTTGACCTGTTTTTAGCTGCCGGGGTGATGGCTTTGCCCCCAGTGACGTTCAGTTTGCAGGAAGTAGAGGAGGCGGAGTGTTGCACGACGGAACGAGGGGAAGGGAACAAACAAAACACGTTGGCAAGCAGCACCGTTGCATGGGCCTCGTCTGTGCCTATTTACAATCAATATTGCGACTTAAAAGTTCACGTAATGTTGTATTGTGCACAGTACACAATCACACAATCAGGTTTTGTTGAGTTCTATGGGATATACTACGCAAAGTATGCAAAAAAAATTTTGAAATGATTTATTCCAGTCTCATTTACGCTGATGAGAGCGTAAATGAACAAGTCACCGATGGACGTATTCTTGCTCTGTCTTCAGGCTGAATGCCAGTGGAAGACATGTTTGTTTTTACGCAATTAGTGATGATACCAGCGCTTGCAACATTGTAATTGCCAGCAAAAGTCCTCTCTCACTTGCGCAAAACTCAAACGTATTTTTAGACACTGCAACGAGGGCCCTGTGTTTTGGCTCCAGTGAATGTACTGAGTGGGAGTCGGGCTGTGAGCTCCAGAAAACTTTCACTTCGTGCTTCTCTTGGGGTTTGCTTGGCTCCAACAGTGGAAGATGTAACAAACTGCCCAAAATACTCCCTGCCTTTAATGCGATGAAAATGACTTTTAAAAGAACAGGAGATACAGGATTCAGTCAAGAGTCATATTCTCTAAAATGTTATAAAGTGTGTCCTGGTTAACTACTCCAACGAAGGTAATCTGATGTCATGTTCAGCCATTTTTTAAAACATAAATACTCCACTAAGCCATATTTTGTGACCATAATTGGGTCTGGGTTATCTTAAAATTATATAACATTCTATAGATAGATGTGAAAGAATTGAGTTTAACCAAAATGCCATCTAAATGGACAGCGTTTCAAAGCAAAGCAGAATGCCTCCCAGCAAAAAGAGACAACAAGTATCCATGACAAAGTCAAAGTGGATATGCCAGAGCGCATTTAAAAAAGGCAAAATATTCTGTCAAATGCAATGAGACTAGTTGAGAGGTCCAGTAAATGTGGCTTGACCCTTTTCGTCTGACGAGAAATTCTATGTCGCAGCTCACCTGAGTAGATGAGAGACACAGATGTAGATTTGAAAACATTCAATCAAACATGGTCATGGATCCAAATATTTGTTTTCCGCATATCTTTTTTCTAAAAGTTGATCTAATCTCACCTCAACTACTTTTTATTGACATTATTCCTAGGAGAAAATAGTTTTCACACCACCTGTAGCAGGAAGAGTTCAATTCCGTTAGCATTTTTAATGCATGGTTTTGGTTGTAAGTGGTTTTTGTGTCCATTTTTTAAAATTGTTTTTGGTTGTCATTTCCAGATTTTATTGTAGATATTTAAAATATATTCCAGTTCCAGTGTTAATTGTAGCATTGTTGATGTATTACTTGTAAATAGTCTCAAAACAACAATATTATCGATCATCGCAATAACTACTGGGACATTTGTTATTGTTGCAGGCCAAGTTGTATGCAAAATCAGGAGACAATATAACTGAGAGACAGAGCTCAATCCGCTTTGCTTTCAGAGATATAAAATATATTTTGACATATCTCAAAAATGATCAATCAACAAAAGTTGGAGAATAAAATGAATCTGTGTTAAATGCATTTCCACTCAGTTTTTTCATAGCTGCATTTTGGAGCCATTGTAAAAAATTTCTGCCCTGCAGAAGCAAGAGAACTGGGATGTTTTTCCTACGCAAAACTGGGTTTTATCCAGGTACTGGGCTCCTCCCACACATTAATCTAACTTCAAGGAAACAGCGACTACTCCTGCTGTTGGTGTTTCTAGGCCCTCATTGGTTGAAAAAACATTCAAATAGTGAAATAAATCAATCTAATTCTCAATAGGCTGCACCATATGCCTGATTTATTTCCATGGTAATATTTTATGTAATACATTTGTTTACTTATCAGCTTTTTTTTTGCTATTTTTTTGGTGAACCTACATTAATATGTGTGGAGCTGTGTGGGAGCCTCCCTATAAATAGTTTTCAATCTGGTGATTCAAAGCGTAGGTGAGGTTGCCCTCTACTCTGCTGTGGGTTCTTAAGGCAGTACAAAAATGAGCCATCGATTTTAGAAAGCATTAAAAATAAAGCGCTCACATTGGAGTCAAGACTGCGCCGCCTTTAGCTCCATCCTTGTAGTAATTTTAGCTTTTCGTGGATTTAAGCTGGTGATCTGCCAGATACAAGTTCAGTTTCACAGTCTGCCTTCTGTTCCCGTAAAGTAAGACCAGATATGATGCACAAAACATACATCACATTCATATTGTATTAGAAATGAATATCTGAACATTATTACAGAGAATTTGAGATAAATGTTTCTATTTCGAATTAATTGTACTTTTTCAGTGTTTTCTGATTAGCTTAAAATGTTGGTTTTCTTCCATAAACACAGCTGTGAGAAAAAACTGAAAGCTGCAGTCTCTTTAAAAAGTATTCATGCTTATTGAACTGAATGTTACATGGCAGACCAGCACACACCTGCAAAAGCATAATTGAACAAATTTGTTTGTTTAAATGGCCCAGTTCAAGTCCAAATTGACATTAGCTGACGCTCAATCTCCAGTTTGAATAAAGTGGTGCTATTTTGCAAAGAAGCGCAAGCAAAGATATATATCTGTATGTTAAAAGTTTGAGACATTTGCAGCTGCAGTTTCAATGAAAAGTGGCTCTACAGATATCTGTGTCCTGTTTGTCTTGGTTCGTCACATGAAATCCGATCAGTTCCACCTTTCTCACAACTATTTTATTTAGAAACTCTCTCATCGGACACA